TTTTTTCTATTGTTGAGGTCACTTATGATCATCAAATTTTTGGCACCCTGATACAATATGCATTTCTTCATCTGTGAAAACTCACAAGAATTAATTAGATTATAAATGTGAAAGCAATTTGTAAATTGTAAAGCACTATGCAAATGTTAATTGCCAGATGTTGAATAACACCCTCAACTTCCTGACAATCCACTGGCTTCCTATTAAACTACTACAGTATTTTTGTTCAATCACCTACCTTGATAGAAGTTTTTCTGATTAAAATTGTAAACTAATGAAACATCAAGGCGATATCCTCCTTCATGCCATTGTATTTTAAATTAGCAAGTTGTAGAAATAAAGTACCAAATCAATGAACTGGAAAATATTTTCTCTCATTCTATTGAATCAACGTGAGTCTACTACATTTGCTGAGTAAAGTTTTACTTTTCATGCATTAATGCCTCTGAAGAATAAAGGGCAAAGGATAATACATTCTAGTATCTTCCAAAGACTTAATAGAACAAGCCTGGAGGCTAGCTAAAGCCTCTGTCCAAGACTTTCATCTGCTCATCCTCCAAACTTCCATCTGCTCACCATTCTGCAAAATGTATGGCGTAGAGAAGACCTTTAATACCCATTTATTCAATGAATGAGTGAAAGGCTAGATAAATGACTGAGAAGACCATCTACCGTGGAAAGCCCACCAATCAACAAGCAACAACTGAAAAGGGAGTATGCCAACCAGAGACCATGAATCCTCTGGCCTCAACCTCCACTGGCTTTGAGTTTGGGCAAGTTACTAGGTCTTCATGCATAGTCATTTCCTTGAAATTGAAACAGAGGAAATAAACACAGAGTCACAGAACTGTCTACCCTGTGACAGGAACTTACTTAGAATCCCTGGGTAAGCACTAAGCCTCCTTAGGCCCTGGTTCCTTATCTGTAAAATAACAAGTTTTGACTGGATGATATGAATATCTGCTCTATCTAGTTTAGGGTCTATGATTCTAAAATTAGCTTAGTGAGAGAGAGATTAAAAATGCCTCGACAAATGTCAGAAGTAATATACATTTGTACAGTAGAGGTGAAAAAGGCCGATAAAAGAAAACATTCGGTCAGAAGATTCTAAACTTATCCATCATTCTTCTGAACTATTCATACCTTTTAAGGATTCCCTTTCTTTTGGAGCAACCTATCTTTTGCATACCATATCAAAGGCATTCTTACAGAATACAGTGTAATACTGGTCACCCACCTCAAAAACTCACTTTCTATATTTGTAGCTAATAGATATATAGCAAAGAGCCCATGTCATTAATGATAACTTAAGTTATCTTTTTGTTCACAGTTTTCCTTGGTTTATTAATGGCATAACACATTAATTCTTCTTTCAGGGGTGACCTTTACAACACCATTAATGTGCACAGCTTTTATCCAGCTACATTATTACTCATTACAGTTTCAGCTTTCAACATCTGCATTTGCTGAAAAGAGAAAAGTAAATTGTAGCAGCCTCAAATCCTTGGAAACTATGAGGGATGTGTGGATGTGTATGTGGTGAAGGGATTTTTCAGGGGAAAAAAAAAAAAAAACTAAGGGAAGTTTTAGTAGTGGAGAAAGTCAGATGATAAATGTCATTAAATACATTCATACATTCTTGCCTTTTGAAAATATTTTGTCATACTTAATTCCTGGAATGCTGAAGTAAAAAATCCTCATACGATAAAATGCAAATCTATCAGTTAAATGTTAAATATTCTGGTTCTGGTGACATTACAAAAGTAGTTCATAGACCAGCACTGTGATATTTATGAGCCTTCATTTCTATTATGGAAGTGAATCATTCTTGCCAAATAAAATATTTTTTCTTTTACATACTTAGGACATAAAAACAAGTCTTATCTTGGAGTCCATTTAGGATGTGGAGGGGAGTAACTGAGTTAGGCTGTAACAGAGTGGTGCATAATGATAAAAAATGGACGTGTACCCCAACCTTTTTCAAACTTCTCAAAACTTAAGTTTCCCAGTGTCTGCTCTCACTGCTGTCCCACTGCCCCAGACTGGCTTCTTCTTGGCAAATAATACGAAATTCTGCTCTGTGGAGATTGAAGCATTTGAAATACATTCCTTCAGCTTTTTTTTTAATCCATCCCACAATTTCTCTGTAACTTTACCCCTTTTTTCCCTTTGTTTTATTCAGTCTCAGAAAAGAGAGGGGCTTTGTCCCTTCCAAGGTTAATCCTTTCTCATGATCTCTTGTCTTGTTCCATTTTCATCCATGCTCTCTTCCGTATCTTTATCTGTCTCTGACTCTTCTTCCCCTTGACTATATATATATATATATATATATACATATATATATACACACACACACATATGTATATATATGAATGATTGCCCTATTTTAAAACCTGTTTCTATGTAGTCCTTTTAAAATAATCACTTCTCAACACCAAGCTTACAAAAAGACTGGTCTATAGATCAGCTGCATTTTCTCTCCTCACAGTCTTGAAATCATTGGGATTGAAATTCTGTTAAGGCATTCTCCTAAAACTTCTCTATCAGAGTTTACATCTCCATGAGCGCCAGCTAAATCATAAGGTTTTTCTTTTTCATTTTTTAACTTTTCTGCCAAATGGGACATCATTAAATAACCTTGTGATTTTTTGAAACTTTTATTTTTCCTAGGCTAGCATGACAGTGTCCTATCTTCATTCTTATTCTAACACAGTCGCTTGCTCTTTATCAGTTTCCCCCCTAAAAAAGTGTGCTAGTTTTAAAATGTGCCCAATGATACTTTGATATTCCCCTTGCCTTGAGTTGGGCTGCCCTTGTGATTCTCTTACAATGAAGAGAATAAAGGTAGACTTTCAAGACTAGGTCATAAAGGGCACTGTGGCTGTCTCTTTGTTCTCTCCTCTTGGAGCACCCACTCTTGGGAAAGTTAGTTTCCATGCAAGGAGCAGCGCTATGGAAAGACTCACAAGGGAAGGAATTGACCCTCTAGCCAACAACCATGTGAGTGAGACATCTTGAACAAGGAGCATCTATCCCTGGTAAAAGTCCATAGAGGACTATGGCCGTGCCTAACACATTGATTGTAACCATGAGGCCTTAAGCCAGAACTACCCAGCAAAGCTGCTTCCAAATTCTGACCCTTAGAACCTGGTGAGATAATGAATGTTGGTTATCTTAAGCTCTCGAGTATTAGGTTAATTTGCTATGTAGTAAAAGATAACTAATACAGTAGGTGATACTTGTGATTCTTTATCCTGCTTCTCTTCTTACTATGCACACTCTTTTTCGCTGAACTTCATTTTTTTTTAGAGGTGTATATATCTTTTCATTTTCTTAATTCTTTTAATAGTAGTATAGCTAACACACAGTATCATATTAGTTTCAATATGGTGATTTAATAATTCTATACTTAATTTCAATACAGTCCTTTAATAATTCTATACAGGACTCTGTGCTCATGGTGACAAGTGTACTCTTAATCCCCTTATATCATATGTAATTCTATATCTAAAATGCTAACACCATTTTACATATCAGACTTATGTTTATAGTTTCCTCCTGAGGATCTCTACCTAAATGGCTCCTTGTGTTTCAATGCTTACTACATTTTTATATCTATGTCTTCCAAATCTGCTTCCACTCTGGTCTTCTTTTTCACAGTTAAGGGAGGAATTATCCTTCTTATTTTACGAATTCAAAATCCTATAATCCTCTGTGTCCAACTTGAACTACACCAGGTAGACTCTATTGAGGATAGGTTATATTAAGTTTTCTTTACTAATAATATCTCTTCAATCTATTCCTTCCTTTGCTTTATCATTGCTTATTTCTACTTCATGTAACTAACTCTTGTCCTACACTAAAACAATGGTTTCCCTGATTCCTATCTCTTCCTGTTGCCAATACTCTTCTTTCTTAAAGTTCTGATCAGATTGCTGTCTGGAGAAAAAGTCAAAATTTCTTAGGATAGCATTCAGTCAGATTCCATCTGCTCCTTTCAGTTTTAGCCCTGATCACTTTTCACTACACATTCATTCTATATTCTAGCCAAATCAGTGCATTTCTCAAAAATATGCTATTTTACTCTGGGTTTTTTCTTAAAGGCTAAATGCCTAGGACTGTCTCTCTTCCTCAAGATTCCACTTGAATTAGGTTATCCCCAACTTAACTTTCCTTAATCCTTCCCAAATAGAATCCAACACTTTTCTTTTTGATTACAAGGTTGTATCTATGCTCTGAAATGGCACTTACTACGACTGACTAGCACTATAAGAGGGATGACTTTTCCCCTAACTAAATCCTGAGCTCCTTGAAGGGCCTGTCTGTGCTAGCTTCCTTATAACTCTATGCAAATGATAAACATCAATAAAGGTAGATTGAAGTCAGTGTTCACAGTCTAATTTATGTGTTACTGAAGTAAAGATTATTGGAATTTTTTAAAAATTAGCTTATAGAAGCATTTTCTAGTGTTTACTTTACCAAAATGACAATTATGGAGAAACGAAGCTATGTAATTTTTATAATACTTTGGTGTATTCAAGTAAATCTCAAGCAGTATAGAACTGAACAAACTTCATATCCTAGCAGGTGACTATTGATCGAAGTAGAATGTATTTTATCATATGTACAGTTTGTACACATCACAAAAAAAATGGAAATATATTTCAGTAATGGAAAAAGCAAGTCACCTAACAACAACATTCTGGAAACATTGCTCTCTGTGATTAAGTCATTTAGGCCTCTTTTTTATAAACTTAAGAACATCTGTCATATCAACAAACATAACCGGTTCAATTAGCTTTTCAGGAGGACACTGTAACTTGGACTTCAGTTATAAATTTCATTTGCATGTTTAAAACACACCTATGCAGTTCATCAAATTGAAACTCTCCTATGGAACTAAAACCATGCACAGGGTATGCGTGATTTGCCGTTAAAAGATGATTTCATTCAATTGCCATAAACAGAAAATCAGCAAGAACAAAAGAAACAGAACTTACCTATTGTGCTAACTCTGGCTGAAGGACTAGCTAATGCTGCTGGGACAGAGGCTTTGAGGGGGCCTGCCCCACTGTTTATTCTCAGAGCTGGCATATGGGGAGAGGTGGGTGATGTGGGTGATTTGCCATCAGAGGTCTTGGGTTTAGCTGATAGGTTCAGTGGCTGTGCCACTTCATCCTGCAATGTGATCATTAGAACATGAGCTGTGATAAGGCAAGGCTGATCAAAAATGCCTAGAAAAACACAGGTATATAGCCTGTCATTTCCCATCAAATTACTCTACCAATCAGCGATCTTAACATTCAACCTATACATTACAGTGTTGGTTAGCTGTCAACAATGTCACTTTTAACTACATATTATGAAAAACCTTTAGTATAAGAGAAAGTACACGTGCACTCAACTATCCAGAAAGTATATAACTGATGTCATGTCTAAGAAATATCTTAAGCTATTCCTTGTGCTATTCAGTTCTATTGAGAGACCATTACATAATTCATATGAAATTATGATGTAGGTAGCCTTTGTTCAACCTCCGAAGAACAGGGGTTGAGTCCCAAGCACCTTTGTATCCCGGTGCTTAGCCAGAGTACCTGGAACATCCATGATGGAGGAATTAAATGGTGTGCACCTCTGATCAGAACTTATCTCCAGATTAAATACAAAAAAAAAAGAAGGAAACTTTCTAACTTTCTCAGAAAATAATCTTTCTCCTAGGTTTCACAGACACAGTTTTGGACTTGATCTAAAAGTAAAAATAAACATAATAGACATTATACCAATATGTACTATTTATTTATATGCGACACTGTTCTAAATACTTAGCATTTTGTTTTCAAATCTAGATTTGTTTTCCAGATTTTCCGCAATGTATACCACAATCAATACATTGTGGTGTGATGATCTTTCTGTGGTTAATCAGCACATATGGTGAGTTCCAATTGTTCAATACCTGAATAGGTCAAATTGATGTAGTTTACATTCTATTTTATACTTTCTATATTAGCCCTTGTGTAATTTCATACATAAAATTTATGTATACAATTATCCTTAAAGTTTCTACCACATCATTTATTAGAATCAGATAATATTAACATTACATCTCTTTTTTCATCACAAACTGAGAAATGTGTTTTTTGTGCTCTAAAATTAAAATATCGTGTCATATGTTAAACCTTATTGTTAAAAATATCTACAATTTTATAAAGTATTATTGTAGAATAAAAACATAGTTTCCACTTAGCTACTGTTCTATCTTCATGAGTTAAGAGCATAAATATCTGCCAGTAGTAGGTGGATAACCTGATGAAAGCCGGACAATTTAGATTCAAATAGTGTAATTTGATGGCATGGAAACATATATCAATGTGTTCAAAATTTTATATATATATCTACCAAAACCATTGAAATCAATCACTTTATAAAAATGGTAAAATGGTATAATAAGATATCTATTCAAAGTTTATATTTTTAAAGTGGTTTATTGTTATTAAATTCCATGGTTGGCTGCACTTAGGAAACTTATGAACAAAGTAGAAGAAATTACTCTTTAACACTTTATTTTTTTTTAAATTCTGTTTTCTGTTTCAGAAAAAAAAGAATAGCTATTTGAAAATCTACGAGAATTCAAATGGTAATCTGGAATCGCATTAGATGTCTAGTAAGTTGATAACCATCATACCAAATTTATATGGATTCATAGTCTTGGAAGAAAGGAAGGTAAGCTAATTCCATGACTGGTTCACTATGTAAGAAAAGTTTAATTTAGCATTTTAAAAACTGCAGGGGCAAAATTATTCCCTAGAATAATTTGGTTGAGCTGGTGAGCCATAATCCTTATATGTCAGAAACCCACAAGTATTGTGCCCTTTTCCCCTTTATACCACAATACGGATGGGTAATTCGCAAATTCGATCTTTGGATCAGAACCATCAGCACCACCTGGGAACTTATTAGAAAAGCAAATTCACTATTTTAGAAACTTTGGAGGTGGGTTCTAGCAATCCATTTTAAAAAGCATTCCCAGGAGATTCTGATGCAGACTAACATTTGAGAACCACCACCATACACAATATAAAGTGAGAAAATTCTTTTAACAAATGATTAAGCTTCAAAACCTTAAAAAAAAAAAAAAAAGCTTCCTCAATGTAAGGAAGTAGCATTAAAAAATACATAATGTTGGGGCGCCTGGGTGGTACAGTTGGTTAAGCATCCGACTCTTGATTTCGGTTCTGGTCATGATTTCATGGATCGTGAGACCGAGACCTATGTCCCATTCAGCTCAGCATCTCCTTCTCTCCTTCTGTCTCTCTTTCTGGACCTCCCCGGCTCCTGCTCACCTGTTAGCTCTCTCTCTCTCCCTCTCTCTCAAATACATAAATCTTAAAAAAAAAAAAAAAGCATAATGTTATCTCAATCTTTAAAATTTATCAAAGTGTAATGTATGCTAATAATAACAAACGAAAGCATGCATCTGCATAATAAACTAAATGCTACTGACATTCGGTAGGCTACTAAAGATGAGGTTCTAGATTTTCTTCTTGTTAATTCAGCCTAAATAGCCAGTCAGATACGAGTTTTACTGACTGTTTATTATGTAGCCGTAAATATTCTAGACCCTTCTTCCTCCATCAGTTGTACCTGCTTACTACACTTCCTGTATGAAACTACCAGCTTTTATCACAACAGCCTGAAAACTTCGTTGGTGTGTATTTGACAACTCTTGTCAAAGTTTTGAGGGGAGACTTGGAGAAATTAAGGTGGTTGTTTCACTTGACTGTGCAGAAAAGAAAGAAAGGAATATATTCCCAGAGTTGCAAGAGAAGAGATTTATGAGTGCAGAGGAAATAGAGCGTGAGTGTGTATGTGTAGGGGGAATAATGGTGTTGACGAAGATGATGCAGATGTAGGTGCTGATGGGACATGAAGCATATGAAATGTCATGTGCTTAGCTTTAAGCACTAAGAACTATTACATGCACGTACTGAAAAATGACTACCCTACCCAAAGCATTTATTACAGCAAGAGACCCACTGGAACTCTTAATATTCTCCTCCATTCAAGGCAGCACAGATGTCTGAAAGCCAAAAAGTGCAAAGCCCCAAGGACATAATAGAGGTTGACAGTTCCCAAGTTGATAGAAATGTCATTCAAAATTGCCCTTTCGTTCCCTTTCATTGTGTGAGCAGGCTAATAGTATATTAATAAGAACCCACATGCTTGATCCTTATAGTGGTAACTATATAAATAATTTTGACCCATTATATGATATTATTTCACAATTTGGTTCTTCTAATAATTTACTACTGAGCTACTATACCAAATACCTATTATTCATCAAGAATATAAAAATTACAGTAGTTTTCCCATTTTCTATTAATTATTTTTCATTAGACTAGGTGAATAACTTAAAACCCTAACTATAAAATGAAAGCGGGCTATTTATTTATGACCTGCATTCTCATAATTATAAATACGTGTAATAAATGCCAAGGTAAGGTTTTTTTCCCTAAAGATGTTTAAGAACTTATTTAGGAGAAATTTGAAAGCTTAGTAAGATTAAACCCTACTCTTACAAATAAAGCAGGCATTTTAAAATTGTAAGTAAATAATTTTACATAAAAAAATAAGTAATTTTTAAGGTCAAGAAAACACTGGAAAAATAGCATTTCTCTGAAGTACACCATAAAGCAATAAAGAAAGTGATTTCTTTTTAATTACTTGTCCAATCGTTAAAGGATGATGTAATTTGAAAATTTTGAAAATAGCTTATTTCATAATTAATGTATACACAAAGCAATAGTTAAGAAGAATCTTATGTATCCGTTGAATAGTTCCAAACTTGATCTGCTAACCTAGTATAAACACAAGGTCAACATTTACACTTAAACTTAATTATTTAAGTTTTAACTAATAGGCTATTACTTATATTTATAGAATTCATTATAATATTTCAAATCATTTATTTAATCTTCAATTCTATGGAATAATTAATAATCTCAGGAGGGCAACTAAAATTCACAAAGTTCTAAAGAAACTCAGGTTGTTGGACCCAACATACGATATTCTTTTTAGTTATATGACAAATTTAATCTTAAATTGTAAAAGACATTGATGCAATGGAATTTCTGAAGTTCAGACTTAACCATATAATTTTTCACATAAAAAAGCCACATAAAGGGCAATACACGTTCAATAAAATGAAGTAATACACACATTTACTATTTATATACTAGCTTAAAAATTAAGGCACAAATGTTGATTTATTTTGGAGATCTTTTTTTGTGTGTGTGCTTCTCTGTTCTCTATACTATATAGCATCAGAAAGGTCCTTTGGAAGTGCTAAAGAGCTATTAAATTGGGTTATTTTTTTGAGAGAAATACCAAGAGTCTGTGTACAGTATGTCAGAAAATACAATAATTTGTATAATAATGTGTAAGAGAATAATATTTCATATATACATATGATACATATCATATATATATGCACACAAGTTTTAGAAACCTACTTATGATCATAACTTCTCCTAATAAAGTCTTGTCTAATCTTAGTTGTCTGGGATAGAATGCAAAACAAGTATCATCTAAACAAACATACAGTTTCAGGCATGTTCCACTTACTTCTAGTTACTACAACTTGTCTAAAAGCAAACATTTCACTTAACATCAACTTGTGGTCATGGTAATAGAAATATTGTGGAGGTGTAATGAATTTGTGTCCTAGCCAATGAAAAGAAATACCCCACACAGATAAATACTAAATTTGGATGAAGAAAATTATTTGACATAAACATATAGACTTAGATGCACTGGAAAAATACAGCTGTCATCACAAATACAGAGTTATTCCACATAAACTTAACAAAAACTATAAAATAACCATATAAATTTAAAATATATTTTACTTAGATGATTTTCAAATAATAGGTTTATTCCAGGAAAAACATGTTAGTCTAACATAATTGTATAATATTCTTAATTTTTAATGTGCAAAGACCAAATCGCTCATAGAAATCAAACAATTTATCAAAGAAAAATCATTCTCCAGAATCCTGGAGGTTTAGTTCTCTCTCCCCGCTCCTTAGCCTTTCTTTATATGTGTGTGTGTGTGTGTGTGTGTGTGTGTGTGTGTATTTATACATATATATATATATATTTTTTTATATTTTTTTTTTTTT